CAGAGGTACTTCTAAAGCTTATGCTTTTGTGTACTTTATGGTGGACACCTGTGTCACAAATATAGTTGGTGATACTGATTTGTTAATTCACCACCATGCCTGGCAAGAAGATTTCATATGTAGGCACCCTCTGATTGATTACCTTGGATTCTTTTTTTTTTTTGGCAGAACTGGTGATTGAACTCAGGCCCCTGCGCTTGCCAGGCAAGAGTTTATTCCACTGAGCCATCTCCCTAGCCCCTCTTGGATTCTTATCCTTTTCTTTTATCTTGTGCTTTGAAGCTGAGCTCTTTTTATTTGTACCAGGGATTGAACTTGGGGCCTTACACTTGTCATATAGGTGCGTGTGCCACCTAGCCATCTCCCCAGGCCCTTTATTGTCTTTTTGAGGTGGAGTCTATGCAGTTCTGGCTGACCTTGATTGAGCTCACTTTGTAGCCCAGGCTTGTCTTGAACTCACAGCAGTCCTCCTGCCTCAGCCTCCCAAATGCTGAGATTATGTGTTCCCCCATGCTCCACCCCGCCCTTCTGAGTTCTTATTTCTTTTTTTAATTTTATTTATTTGTGTGTGTGTGTGCATGTGTGTGTGTGTGTGTGGCCAGCTCAGCCCACCAGGGGGCGGGGCTGGCTGGCATGTGGCGCTGGGGGACTGAACCGCGGTCCCTGTGCTCCGCCAAGCTTGTTCCAAGTAGGTTCTTCAGACCACTGAGCCTTCTCACCAGCCCATGAGTTCTTATTTCTTAAAGAAGTATTATATTTATATTATTGGAAGTTTAATCAGCCGGGTATGGTGGCACACATCTATAGACTGAGAGGCTGAGGCAGGAGGACCACCATGAATTCAAGGCCTGTGTGGACTACATAGTGAGACCACAAAACAGTGAAAAAGAAAGATCACTCATTTCAGTATTAGAACAGGCAAGACAATGGTCTCTTGATCTAAATTAGGCAATTAGGTATTGCAGAGTTCCATCTTTTAACAAAATGAAAAGGTTTGCAAATACAGTCCTTGAAAGATAAAGACTGGTGGAACCAGACCAATAACTTGCAGTATTTATTTATTTTTTTTTCTTGCTCTGTAGTGCAGGCTAACCTTTACCTCACTATGTAGACCATGCTGGCCTCAAATTTTTTTTTTCCTCCTTTCGAACTGGGGATTGAACTCAGGCCCTTGCTCTTGCCAGGCAAGTGCTTATTTTACTGAGCCATCTCCCTTAAGACCCCCATGGCCTCAAATTTAAGGGAATCCTCCTTCCTCAGCCTCCCAAGTGCTAGGTTTACAGACATTCACCACAGACTTGGCAAGAAGATTTTACATATGGGCACCCTCTTAATC